ATTTAGTTTTTCTGCAGTGATTCTATCACTACTTCCCGTTCAAAGAAGCATGGGTTCGTAACAAATGTATAAAGTTGTAACGAACACTTGAATTACTCAGATTTCAAAAAGAAACTCCTGAAGACTCACCGAAGCAAAAATGGCCGAATAACTGGAGAATGCTGCATGAAGTGAAGGAAACGTGAGCCATGCATATCGCAGTTCATCGGCTCCTCGGAAGTTGCATGCCAAATTTGGCGAAGGAGACGGCGAGTGCTCCAGTGGGGCTGTGCAGGCGCTGAAAATACATCAGTTGCTTGAATGTGATTGCTATATGAACGCTTCATCAGAGTTATCCGTGCCAGCGCTAGTCCAGTGCCGTGCTAGCGTCGTGCCAAAATTGTGCCGGCGAGCCTATTAAACTCTGAATGCAAGCTAAGAACTTCACGCACCTAATAGATACGTTGCATAACGAAAGAAAGTATGGCCGTTGATATCCCGTCATCAGTTTGATCGTATCGACGAAGATTTGAACTACGAGAGCACCACATAGGAAAACAGCTGCAAGAATAAATTCACAAAAGGCATTGGCGATGAAAGAACGGAACGGAAAAATTGAGTGACATGGAAATCATTCAGAGAATTGATTATATTCAGTTCTTACCGATGAATCGTAGGAGCCTTCTCGTGAACAAATGCACCTTGCACTCGCCACAATTCGCATAAACAGTCTTGCGTGGTTTTGTTGAAAACAACCAGAACATCACTTCGCCAATAAACATCTGCAATTCGCTTATGTAATAAACTTTCTCTTAATGAAACAATTTTTTCTTGAAAAGGAATGCCAAAATTATTTGACGCAGATTGCATAAGGTTCGCGATTCGAACTGTAGCTAAAATGACGCCAGACCATGCTTCAGAATTTTGCCGCTCGTTTCATTTATTTCTCTTCAAAATTCTAAGACTACGAAGAGGGTAGAAAGTTGATGATACGCAACAAAACTTTGTCTTTTTTTATGTCCTATTTGATTCATACAGCATTCATAATTGTTTCAAAGAGAAGTATAACAACATATTATACCGCAAATCGCAGAATTTGAAGTGTCAACTTTTCTCAGCTTGGATCGGTTTGTTGATGAAAAACATGCTGAAGAATTGGTAACAATCAGTTTCCAAGTCTAAATAAGGGGCACGGTCATTCAATTTTTATCACCACTCTAATTTAATAAAGCACGTAGGAAAAGTTGGTAT